CTCAGCCCTGGTGAGGCCTCACCTGGAGTACTGTGTCCAATTCTGGGCTCCCCAGTACAGGAGAGACCTGGCCCTACTGGAGAGAGTCCAGCGGAGGGCTGCAAAGATGATGAGGGGACTGGAGCATCTATCCTTGAGGAAAGGCTGAGAGAGCTGGGCCTGTTCAGCCTGGAGAAGAGAAGACGGAAAGGCGATCTGATCAATGTGTACAAGTATCTGAAGGGGGAGTGTCAAGAGGATGGGGCCAATCTCTTCTCCGTGGTGCCCAGCAATAGGACAAGAGGCAACGGGCACAAGCTGAAACACAGGCAGTTCCTCCCGAACATGAAGAAAAACTTCTTTCCTGTGAGGGTGGCTGAGCACTGGCACAGGTCGCCCAGAGAGGTAGTGGAGTCTCCTTTGCTGGAGATATTCAAGACCCTCCTGGACGCGATCCTGGGCAATGTGCTCTAGAGGACCCTGCTTGAGCAGGGGTGTTGGAGTAGATGATCTCCAGAGGTTCCTTCTGACCTTAACCGTTCTGTGATTCTGTATATGGAAAGGGCCTTTTGTCTGGGGATACATTGATAAATTTGATAAGAGTATTTAGAGAGCGAATGGAGTAGAGTAGATTCATCTGATTTACCATTAAAATACAAGAGCAAAACTTTGTGTGATATTGAAATCCACTCTTAGGCTGTCAGTAACCAGTGGCACTCACTTCAGCGGATATATTGGAGCCTAGGAGTAGTTAAAAAAAGGAGAGGGAGATACAGTAAGAGAGGATCTTTATCCTGCAAGATAGAAGTCACTTTCCTTGGAAGCAATTAGAAAGACGTTAGTTCCTGGGCTGGTTGTTCAGGTGATGATAGTTCTTGTGCCCCAAGGAGGAGGTGGAGATTTTAAAGAGTGAAAAAGCTGAGAGGAGAACCAGGAGTGCAGCCTTAGAAACTAATAAATGGGAGTGAAAGAGGAAGGTGGCAGTGATGCTTTCTACTTGAGGAGATGAGCAGAAACAGAGGTACGTATAAATTCGTTTGGCTGAGCTGGGAAAAGTTTTGTTAGTGAAGGTAGATTTAGTATGTGTGCATTCTATTGAAGGTAAAGGAGCGGCCAAGTTTTGTGTTGGCCACAGCAGAAGTAGCTGAATGGAGATTAAAACCCTAGGAATGATTACATGCAACTTTGTCAATTCTACATCAGTTAGATGAAAATAACTGCTTACCCTGAAGATAAAGGTTTGGGGCCTTGCTCAGAATTAAGGACCAGTAGATGCACAGACCTGTCCTTGGCTCTTGGTAGAAAGCACTTCATATGCATCTTGAATGAGATGAGTTTCTGTAGCTGCTGTTGTGGTGATGTCCTGTCTGAAACATGAACTTCGTGCTTCTTGTCTCAGAGCTAAGGCTTACAGAGCATGCTGAAATGTAGTTTTTTGTTTTCCTCACTCTCTGTGTCATGTCTACAGCATGAGAAATCCAGTGGAGTAGCCCTCTGCTTTCGACTTTCGTGGAGTCCTCCAGACAGCTTCAATTCATTACTGATATGAACAGCTGTATTAGACTTCTGCAGTTGTTCCAGGCTTCATCCCTGGCTGACACAAATTGTCGCGCACTCAGCTGACAAAAAATGGAGGTTTTAATTTAGGAACGAGGTCATGCTACTTTGGAAGAATAGTGAAAATAACCATAATTTTAATCAAATGTCAACCATTGCTTGTTGTAAACTTTTTAAAAATTATAGTAGGAACGCACACTTCACAGCAGAAGTGATGCTATAGAATTTAAAGTTTACTCTTGAGGAGTTTTGGCTGTCATGCTGCAGCATACATGGAGCTTTTCCTCTAACGATGGTTGCTAGTTCTGTAAATAGTTGAGCATTTTTCCCTTTTGTGCTTTTAAAGAAAAATTTTTAACTCATGGCTAACATGTCTTTCAGGCGATCAGCCCTATATCAAGGAACACTCCTGCTCATCACAGAAAGGAAGGTCTTCCTCCAGCTTCATTTCATCCTAAGCGTCCCAATTATACACCAAAATCTGTCATAGTCTCTAAAGAGAATGAGGATACCAAATATGTTTCAGAAGTTACAGAAAAGGGAGGAATAGTGAAGACAACAGAAGAGAAAGCTACTGAAGGTATTGAAAAGAAAATAAAGCCCAGCTCTGGAAACTCTTTAAATATGGCGTACTAATTTTAAAGCAGTTTTTAGTTTACACTAGTTAGATGTTTAAGTAGCTTAAATGTAGTATTTGGCTTGTATTAATAGTGTATTACATTTATGTATACAGTATGCAATCTAGTATGTCATTGTAATGAGTCAAGCCTCTAGCTCTGTGTGCGGTACTTGCAGATGATGATCAGGGAATGATGGATTTTGATGATGAGGACTTTGATGAACCTATGGAAGCAGAGCATGTGGAAGCTATACCTGAGGCAGCTGAAAGCTTGAAGAGAGACAAGGAAATAGAAAAGAAAGAGACAGAGCAGCTGGAATATGTGAAGAAAGACACATCTGTGTTGTAAGGATCTCTATTTATTTCTTCCACTAGGAAGCCTTTCAGTATCCACAAGCCTTAGATTCAGCTTCATATTTATCTTTGCCATGGGATAATTGTGATACAGACAAAATGATAATAGCGTTCTGCGATTTTTATTTGTTCTTTTTTTGACCTGACTTTAAAAATTGTCATGTCAAACACACTGATGGCTACTTAATTGAAGAATACTTTGTGTTTTTGGGAACTAGCACGTAACAATACAAAGAGCTACCTAACTGTTTTGGTACGTTGTGGTGGCTTAATGTGGATGATGAGCCACAGATTTTGGTGCTGATTAGCAAAAATGAGGAATTGCTAACAATACTCCCTCTGAGCAACTGTGAAGGCATTGCATAGCATTAATTGTAGCTAAAAGTAGTTTCCCATGGTGAACAGGTATGTCTTTAGAAATAGAAAAAAGTTTTTTATTTACTGAGGTTTTTTTTGTTTGTTTGGAAGAACCTTGACTCGTATGTTTCAGAACTTTGAATTGTAAAATATACAAATGAAAAGACTTAAATATTAGTCACTCAAAGCAACACTCAAAGCACTCTGTTGTTCCCACTGAGCAACTTTTATAGACGGGTGGGCTTACTTGTTATGGAAAGCTTTGAAGGACTAAGGCTGAAATGCAAGATAAATGACTTTTAAAGCCTGTATGCTGCATACTTAGAGCCATACTCGTATGTATTTCTCTCTCACACTCCACCCTTCTCTTCAAAAGAAAGCTGAAGAAACCCAACAGTTTGGAATGGTACTCAGTAGCTGGCAAAAGTGGCAAAAGGTGTGAGAATACAGGACTGAAAAAAGAAAAAAAGTGGTTATAGGAAAGGCACGATTTTACTTCTCTCTCCTTTCTTCTTCGAAACCTGCAGAAGTTGTTCTCTCCCAGATGTCTCGTGTTGGGACAGAATTGATGAGGATGAAGCTGATTTAGTGGCAACAGAAGTTCAGCTGGACCCCAATCTCCTTCCACTTGTGAGTGGGGAAAATGATGATCAAGTCTTAAGGTTTTATTGGCTCGATGCTTATGAAGATCAGTACAGTCAGCCAGGTAACTGTTACAGTTAAAGGCAGAAAATGCTTTTCTGACTCTCTTCATGTAACTGTGATTTTCAGAGTTGCCTGAACTATGTCTAGATACCCTTTCTCTCTCTGTTCTGTAAGCTGTTCGTTAATCTCTCTTATTTCTCCCCTGCCCCGTCCCTAGTGCAGGGCATTGTCACTGGACAAAGCAAGAATTTCATCTCCTGGTCTAGGATCCTCTAGGGAAGTATAAAGGGAACTACTAGCACTTCTTCATGTTGGTGGCCTGTTGACATTCTTGCTCCTAGAGTGCACAAAGGTTTTTACATTGGTATTGTCATTTTCTTGTTTAATGGAGCAACAATTGAGCATGCATTCTTCTTTGTTTTTGGAAAAGTAGCTTACAATTCTGATGGATTATTAGTTCACGTCCTGTATGGTAACTGTTGCATGATTTTATGCAATGGGAAGTTATATTTTATCAAGGGAGGAAGGTGGCCTGAAAGATTTAAGCCCTTTCTAGACTCTTTTATTGAAGCCCTCTGTATTAACATCTCTAAGAGACTTTGTGCGGTTGAAGTGTATATCCTAGCTCTCATCATGTTCGTAACTGCAACGTTTTCTTCTCTAGCCTTGACAGAAGTAGTCTTGTTCACATCCTCTCTAAGCACTTCCCATCAGTCCTCTCATTTCATTGGCAGCTCTAGTATCTTTAGTTTCTAATTTATATGCATCATGTAGGTTTGCTAGAAGGTTCTTCCATATCTTGTTGAAGGCTTTTTGGGTTCACGCTGTAGGCGTTAAGTCAGATACATTTCTCCGTTACACCTTTCTTTGTAAAGTGGGATGCCAAACTTGAATATGAGGCTGTGCTGAGTTGAGCAGCTTGGTGACAAGAGTGGTAATAATCATAGATATCTTGAGGAAATCAATGGCTTTAATATAAGATTGCTACTCTTAAAGACCCCACTGTTGTTCTGTTCTCTTTTTTTTTTGTTTTCTAAGCCAGCGGTTGCTGAATGGAACGTAATTATGAAAGGATTTCTGTTCCTCGCGTGCAAGGAGTGTTCTTTTCTCATTATGACTTTTTCAAGGTTGAATAATAAAGACTGCACCTGTTTTCAATTAGTAGTGTAGAGCGAAAATTTCGATACTGCTCTTTGTTTAACACGTTCACGATCTGTGTTTATACCTCATTTGCTGTGATGTCAAATGCGTTGCCTGAGGAGTAAACACCATAGCATAATCATAAGAGTTTTTCAAACTTCGAATGATTTTCAGAGACTACTTTTCATAACTCCCTTTACTACTTTAGGGAGATAATTTGAGAATTGTACTCCTTTTAACATCTTAAAGAAGTAATGAATAAAAATTGCTCTTTTTCCTCCCTCTGCATCTCCTGTTCTGTATCTGTTGACTTTGCTTGCGTTTTGCTCCGTTTGGTAACATGATCTGTGTTTTCACAAGCTTCGTATACTTTATATGCTTTATGTATTTTTTTTCCCTCCTCCTGTCTGTCTGTCTTTTCTTAAAACAGGCTTAGAGGGGATAATATTTATTCTCTCCTTCTTGGTTTTACATATGAAATGTTTCTGAAAACTCTTGGAAGTTAGCCTTGCTTTCTGTGTGTGTGTGTGTGTGTGTGTATGTGCAGGGGGGATGTTGAACTGGAGGTCCCCTTCCCCCTAAATTACTTTAATTCTGTGAAATCTAGTCATTTAAAGCCATATATTTGTTCATGCTAGCGTTGACTGAAGTTTGCCTCTGCAACCCAGGCAACCTTTTTTCCTGCCTTTGAATGGCTTCTGTAGCCTTCTTTCTGCATAATCTGCTTACATGTATGCCTCTGACTGGTTATCTTCTCAGGGCTCTTAGTATCGCCACCTATTTAAGCGATGAACTCCCAATTCTGGGTCTCCCCCATGTTTTCACGTCTTTGTATGATACAAACCCATCTGAGTTTCTTATCTCCTAAACAAAAAAAAAAAAAATAGAGATTACTCAGGACAAGAACTCCATCTTCCCTGTCACTTAGATCTGTAATTTGAGCTCTTTCTAGATCCTTTCATGCAAACTGTCTAAATCTTGAAGGTTGTCTCTCTATCTCTCTAAGATACTTTGTGCAGCTGAAATACATATCCTGGCTCTCACGATGTTCAAAACGGCAACATTTTCTTCTCTAGCCTTGACAAAAGTCGTTTTTTTGCAGCTATTCCAAGTGCTTCAAGAAATGGTTTCTCTTAGCCTCTCACTCTAACCCTGTGATCCATATTAGTGCATCTTCACTGATTTAGCTTAGAGTAAGAAAGGTACCTTTGTGTGTGATAGATCATGTGGCAAAGATGATTTATAACTCACTTGTTTGTGTACTCTCAGACCGAGGAGGAATGTAGGTTCCAAAATCTTCCTCATGTTAAACATTGTTTCTAAAACAGTCTTGGCTCTGGTAATTCTGATCTCATTAGTAGTAGCGTACCATGGGGAGAGTCTTTCATGTAATCAAATTCCAAATGCTTAAGGAGTTACATGTGAAGTCAGGTTTTTGAACGGTACCTGCAACTTTATTTTACTTGTAATTCACAAACAGTACTTGAAAGTCACATAGCCCTGTTCTATGTTATTTCAAAGGTTAACACAACTTAATTAGCAGTTTGTGGCATTTTGTGCTAAAGCCAGCTTCTCACTGGCTCAGAGATGTGCGGATACTGATAATAACGACACGGTCCACAGTGAAAGAGTCAGTCGCATTAGTTCTGCGGTGGGTAGACTCTTTGACTTCCCTACCATGGTTAAGGCGAGTATCTTAGCATTCAGGTTTTCATGTGATACATCTCGTAATAGTCTTTTCTTGTAATATATCTTTCAGTGTCCTCATCTGTTAAAAATGGCCAGTCGAAATCTTTCTGCAGTCCATCAACCTCTAGCTGTTGTCTTCTGAATGCGTTTCTGCACGTTTTATTAGTAGTAGGGTCTTGATCTTGCAGTACTAAAGTACAGGAAAAATGGATGAATTGTATTGGTTTAGGTAAAGAATGAAAAAAAGTTGTAGATGGCACAAGTGTTTCAGGAATGATTGACAGCACAGGCGTTCTGATTATCTTTAGCTTTCACTGATTTCTCCCTCCTTCCTCCCTCTCCCTGTGAATTACCAAACTGATGTAGGTAGAAACTGAGTATCAGAACAGAATTCTGAGACTGGTTATATGATGCCATTTTGAATTTCACATATTGTGGTGGTGTTACTATAGCAATGGAGGCAGAGGCATGAAGAGCTGTACCAGCTGTAATCTGTTTTTAAAGCTGATGTTTGAAGCAGATTATGATGTGCTGATTTATCAGAAAGATTTGGTTTTTAAGGATTTAAAGTAGGAAATTACTGTGTTTCTGTGCAAGAATACATAATTAGCTGCTTTAAGCAACATTTAAGAGTAACATAAGAATTGCATATTGTCCTTTTTAGGCGTGGTATTTCTGTTTGGCAAAGTTTGGATAGAATCAGCAAACACCTATGTCAGCTGTTGTGTGACAGTGAAAAATATTGAGAGAACTGTTTATCTACTGCCACGTGAAAAAGTAAGTATATCTGTTAAGTATGTCAAACGTAAGTACTTTTCATTCTGCTTATGGCAGGTTATGAGTTCTAGTAGTGTGTTTATGGGAACTGTCAAAGCCAGTGTTGTCTGATGTAGGTGGCACATTTGCGTACGCTGCACGCATGGCATGTTAGATGTGAGATGCAGAGTAGAGTGTTGCTGCCTCCCCCTTGACCCTTTCTGACAACTCCAGACAAATGACAGTTTGTCATCTTTGGGTTTACTCCTGGGGAAGTAAAGTCATCTTGAATTATTAGAAACCTCGGTGCTTTCTAAACACTCTGCTTTAAGTGATATTTCTTGAATTTGTTTTTTTCTGGTCTATTGCATTATAGTATCCCTTAAAGAAGAGATAAGTGGCTCGTAATTACAAAGCAAAATTCAGCTTATTGGTCACGTCATGTAAAATTTGACTTCCTTTTTTTTTAAGGAAATGGACCTGTCCACTGGCAAAGAGACAGAGACTCCGGTAACTATAATGAGTCTCTTCAAGGAATTTAATGACTGCGTTTCACCAAAATATAAGATCATGAAGTTCAAATCCAAGGTTTGTGTGCCAGCATCCTGTTTGGTCGTTTTTTGTTGTTGTGGTGTGGAAGGTAGGAAGTCCTCTGGATAATGTTTAATGAACTGAAACACTGTCCAGTGGGGGAGGTTATGCTGAAATGCAGATAAAGTGAACCTGCTTGTAACAGCCATGCCAGTGCCTTCCTATATGTGCATGTCCCTTTAAGAATAATACGATTGTTCCATCAGCAAATTCTTTGATACTGAAAACTGATTTTGCATGCCCCGCTTCTTGACTTAAACCAATTTTTTTGTAAAGCTAGGCTCTGGCAATTACTGTATGTGCTATAACAATTACTAACGTTAAGCTAGGGCTTAAGTTGCTAAAGCCCTAGCTTTAGCCCTAATGCTAAAGTTGTGATAGAGCATTAATTTATAATTTCACAGGCAGTGCAATTTTCGAGACTCCTTTGTTTATCCAGTCACTCTAAACCACTACAGCAGAGCTTTGAAAGCTTTTCCTCACTCCTGTGGCTTACAAAAGTGAAATGACTTACTATGTCATGCAAGCATCACTCAAAGCTCGCTGAGGAATGCTTAGCTTGACATTGCTATTGAAATGGGGTTAATACATGTAACAGAGTCCTCTTGTGATACAGTCCACAGTTCGTTGTTGTTAAGATTCATTTCTCTCAGCCATTCTAGGGTATATACCTCAAGAGTGGGAAGAAAAAAAAATTTTGAGTTTTAGCGAGAACAACAATTTTAAGCATACTGCTCCTGAAAATGTTCAGTCATTAGTTTCTGTGAGGCTGATTTAAATGGTAGCCTGGCTTGCTTGCTTGCTGAGCTATTTCTGAGAAAATGGAGCAGGTGAAAGTTCTGTTATTGAAAGCCTGGGTATCAGATCATGGTGTCATAGCATAAAGTGAAAGATTGCTCAGTCCAGCGGGTAGGTCAGTAAGGGGGGATTTGTCATTGGGTCTTTGCGTTTGACCAGGAGTCATACTGAGCAAGTTGCTCTGTCTCTTTGCTTGTTTCATCTTGTTCTCACCCTTGCAGGTTTATCTATTTATGACATGTGCTGTTCAGAGGCTGTATTGTCTTCGTGTATTTGTACAGGACTTAACAAGTTTTGAGGACTGTCGTTCAATTTTGAAGCTGAAGCTGTTCTGAACTTGCAGTATGTGTAATAGTTCTGCTATTGCCGTGTTCCACTTGATCAAAAAATCCTTAGGGAAATGTTGAAGAAGAAAATGTTGCTGTAATGGAAAATTTACAGATATAACACTTATCATAATTCTGCAGAGAAGAGCCGATATTACTGATAGTGTTACGAATGAATTAGATTGTTAGTGGTGTTTGAGGAAGTTTGCTCATTCATTTACGAAGAGCATTTGTTTTTTGGGGCCATAGGTAGGGAGTTTGTGTGGGGAAATGGTGCCTAAAGGGCAAATTAGAGGAAGAATTTTATTCGGAGTTAAGGGCTCAGAGGCTTTTCTGTTTTTCTGAAGTAATGTCATTAGTCTCATACAGATGACTTCATTGTAATTACTGGATGATTGGTTTTAACTTTTCCCAGACTAATTATCTTGTGACTTCATAAAATAAGTCAGCAAGTGGAAAGGCAAGCAAAAGAGCAGAAAGAATGAACTTTAACAATATGTAAATGGAGGAAAATAAAACATGCTCATAGGATAATTCAGGTTGGAAGGAACCTCAGGAGGTCATCTAGTCCACAGTTAGAGTGCTTTGGAAAACTTAAGTTGTTTGAAGTGCAAATGTCAGCAGTGCTTCTCAGATGGCAAATGCATGCAGGAAATCACATCTTTTCGACAGTGTGTAGCTTAGTGCACTTATGCATCCTTCAGGGAAAATATGTCTTCATTCGAACATTACAAAACTTGCCTCTCTAATTTTTATTCTAGATTATTTTCTCTCTCTTAAAACTCTGATGCAAAATAGCTTTTTCACTTTTCTCAGTGTTAGTGTACGGTATTTTTGATTATAATGAAGTTTTTATGTGTTAGGCTTGGAAAGGAATGAATTTAACAATAGATTTAAAAAAAAAAAGTTTGTAATAGCTCACTCTTAAAAGACCCTTTCAGGGATGAGAGAGAAAGCTCAGGGCAAATGAGTTCCTCATTAAAAGAGAGGATGCAAACATTTGTACTAAAGAGAGGAAAAGAAAGGAATTGGCTTTTGAAAAGATGCAGCTCTATTAAAAGAAATTGAGGACTCCACCTGTTCCATGGTACTAAGAAAAAGTATTATGGAGTGAGATAGCAGAATAGCATAGTTTAACCTTCAGAGATGGCTTTTGGGAATTGAGTGCAAATCCTTTTTGCAAAGGTATAGGGAATTTTTGATATTAGTTTAAAGCTCGTTATGCTTTTACTAAGCTTATACAGAGCTTGAAATGAAAGACTCAACTGTGTTGTCCAGACACGTGGCTATATTATATGTGGAATCCTTGGATATATGCAGGAGGGATCCCTAGGAAGGATAGGGAAGTACCAGCACTAAGGCACTGCTCAGCTCTTATCTGGAATATCGTAACACTTCTGATCACCCTGAGAGGGAAAGATGAACTCAAAAGAGAGCAGGTACAAAAGAGGGCAGTTAGGAGAACGAGAGAAAGGGAGAATCGGTTATACCAGAGAAAGCTATGGAAGAGATTGAATTTTCTTTCTTTGTTTTTTTTTTTCTAGCTTTGTGAAGAATACTGATTTGACCTCTTTGCCCCCTACATACATTAAAGGGGGATGAGCGGCAAGAGCAGAGTTATTTTAAGGACAGTGTTAGCAAAAGAACAAATTTATAAAATTTAATTCATGAATAAGTTGGGCCGGGTAGTTAAAGGTGCAATAAAGCTCTGGAGCAGCTGATCAGAACTATTTCTAAGCAGTAAAACTCAAAAGACTGTTTGAATTTGTCAGACTTTTCAGTAAACTGAATTTTACTCACTAATCTGGCAGAAAGCTCTCCAGGTTTATTTCACTGGGATAATTTTCTGCTGGGTTGGGTAGTTAGTGTCTCCTGGGAGAGTTTAATGAGAGCTGGAACTGACAGGAGAGTATGGCTAGTAATGTGCCGGAAGAGAGGAAAGACTGGAGAGGAAAGCAGGACTGTTGTTGGGGCTTCTGGAGGACTATTAAAGGAAAATATTGTAGTAACGTGGCTATTCCACCTTAAAGTGAGGTTTATCGTGAACGAGTGGCAGTGTACTACACAGTAAAGTGTGCCAGGCTTACATCTGGGCAGCAGAGGGTCCTGTTGCTGCCCGGAAGGTAGTTGTGGAATTAGTGGGGTTGCTCCCTTCCTTAGACCTCCTTTTCCTTTGTTCCTCTCTGAGAGACCTCAGTTTGCCTGTTAAATACCTTATCAATCTCCTTTTCATAAGGCGTCATCATCTTTCTTTTCATGGCAGCCATACCATGAGAGATGTTACATTATACAGCCCTTGCTTCTGCATTTCCGTAGGGGTGCGAGGGGCTCTCGAGTTGAAATGATGGTTGCAGTCAGCTAGGTGAACCGTCCAAAAGAAGGACTTCCGCACAGTGTTGCTACTGTACCGTTGACACGGTGGGTCTGCTGTGGAGCTGCCCTGTCCTGCGATCTGCAGCCGATGTTCCACTGCTGTGTTATCGAGGGTATAGGTGTTTTGAAACATTCTGGGAACGCTAATCGCAGCATTGCCCGTGTGAGCAGAGAGTAAAGCAATCCACTCGGAGTAACACATAGCAGGTCTGTCTCAGGTTTAGCCCTGTGAAAGGTGAAGGAATTCTTACTCTTCCACCGTTAACTGGAGATGTTGCTAGCAGATGCTCCCAAAGTCCTTTTATTCGGGATATCCAGCTTTTTGAAGATGTGGACAGAGCCATTACTTATACACTGAGACAAGCTGTTCTTGCTCGCTCTCTCTATCTTGCTTGCTCTTTCTCTCTCTTTCTCTCTCTTTTTTTGCTCGCTTGCTCCCTTTTGCTCACCCCCTTGCTTGCCCTCTTTCTCTGTGTGTGTGTGTGTGCGTGCACGCGCGCATGCATCTTGGCCTTGCCAGCACCAAACTTTATCCCTGTGAGCAGATACACTTAAGCCATAGCACTTCCTCTTGCACCTGCTGCTAATTGTGGCTTCAATGGGTTGCACTGCTGCCAAGTTAGTAAGTCTTCACAAATCAATTCGAAAGCTGCCTTACTCCACTTAGAAACTTAGCAGCTAATCACTGCTGCTCATTTCTGCTTTCTGAAGGGCCACTTGAAGGGCAGATTACTCTGCAGCAAAGCGTTCATTCACTGCAGTTATGACCAGAGGCTTGTGTAATTGAGCTGAGCTCTGTGGAATAACGCAGATGAATCACTGCAGCATACTATTTTTACACTATGTTCAGCTTGCGTTTGCAACGAGAACTTGTTTGAAGCCTGAGAGTTTTAAAAAAAAAAAGGCCTATCGGTAGTAGGTGCTGAAAGCAATGCATAGCCCCCTGTGTCATGCTATGGCTCTAATGTGCTGCTTGTGTCAGGTACTGCTTCAGCTTAGCAGCTCAGATCTACATTTAAAGGCTAATGGCTAGTACCGTAACGCTGTTCTGCCACGATAGGGATGCTGTTGTACCAAGTCATGTTACTCCTTTCTGCCTCAGTTAGCTGTTGATGCTATAGTTGCTTCTTGATTTGCCTTTGCCTTCTTCCTATTTCATAGAGGGCCCTTTTCTCAGCTAACCAGGCTTTGCTGCCTCAAAACCCACTGGTACTGCAATGTTATGAGAAATAGTAAACTTGACTGCTAGTTGTAGTGCTCTAAGGGCTGGTGTTGCCGACTGTTATTTTAAGGAAAAGAAGCCAAATAATTTTGAGTTTACCTGACTGTGCATGTATTTAATTGCTCTGTAAAATTTTGTTACTATTTCTGGTAACTTTGTTTTTCCTATTACACATAGAGTCAGTATAGTATAGAATTAAAGTAAGCGTAATGTGCCGAACTTAGTGCACTATGTAGTGAAAATATTACCTTTATTTAATTTGAGGGGCCTCTAGATTCTCTGGTAGTATGAGTAAAAATGTTCTAGCATGGTTATGGCATAACATAGTTCTATAGTGTAGATGTGTAACGGTGATGTAGATATTTTGTAAACATATCACAGGCTAGTAGAGCATAGTATTTCAGCAGGTACCCTGGCATTGTCCCACAGGATATTGTACTTGTTTGGGAAATGGAGGTAACTGTTCTTCAGGTCTGACAGACTGTATGCATGTTGTACAAAGTCACTATTGTTCTGGGAGCAAACAGAAGCGATACTTTCAGTACAGTTGTAGTGAATGAACTTGAGACTGCTTTAGCAATATCTGTTATAGGCCAAAAATCTTGACTACTTTCTAGTAAAAACCAAATCACTCAAAATGAAAAGCAAAATTCTGTCATAGAAACGGTTCTGTTCTAAGGGTTCAGTAAAGTAAATAACTGGCAGGTGGTGGTTTGCCGTATTCTTGAGTATATTTGAAGTCTGAATTTAAAAAATGTTTCTGGGTTTCCTTAACTATGAAGATTGTATGTTTTTTTTCTTTTGTAATGGTTCGTATGCTTGTAAGTCACTTCTGTAGAAACTGTTCATTGTAAGAAAACTTAAAGAAGTTAAACACAGTAACCATAACAGTCTTGCTATCATTAGATGGTTATAGTGAATTGCAGAAGTGGTAATACATGATCAAGCCCTTGTTATTGGAGGTGTATATTGTGGGTGGCTTTTATTTCATTAGTTCTCTTACTGAGAAACAATGAATTTTCAATTGGAAATACTGGAAAAATATTAATATCTTTATTTTATGTAGAAAGTTGAAAAATATTATGCTTTTGAGATTCCGGATGTTCCAGCAAAATCTGAATACTTAGAAGTTAAATATTCGGTGAGTATAATTAATCTCATGAAAACCCAAACATTGCTTTTCTACCAAATACTGGATTTTATGATTTTATTTATATTAACAAAAATAAAATTTGCTCTCTAGTAGCCAATGGCTAGACCCATTCTGCAGTGTGTAAAGTCAGTTGCTTGTTATCATATATTAAAAAAAAAAAAAAAAAAAGGAGGTTAAACCCTAAACTTTTGGGGGGAAAAAGGGTCAATTGGTTGTTTTTCCTTTTTTTTTTTTTTTTTTTCTTGATATTTTTATGCTGGTTAGTTCCTAGCGTAAATGGCTTATTGCCAGGAAATCTGTGACGTATTAATTTGTCTGTGTTAGCTGTATTTGTGTAAACAAAGCTTGAGGAGGGAAAAAGTTCTGCCTGAAACTACTACAGACTATTAAATACCTCCTATCTTCTTCCCCAATTATACTTTGTTTATTGATTATGGCAGTATATATTCCCAATTATCATGTTTTCGTTGCCTTGTCTTCCCTCCAAACAACCCTTTAGCATGCTGTGTCATGATGCAAAGTAAGATGTTTTGAATTACTTACTAGCCTTAAATGTTTTGTTGAATTCATGTCTAGAATATAGCTGATACCTTTGCTTCTATGGCTCTTAGGGTAGCTGGGTGAGAAAATCTTTAGTTGAAGAGCTGTAAAATTGAGCAGAAAAAATGAAAAAAATTCCCATGAGAACATCAGTAGCTATTCTTGGATTAACAAAAATACTTGATTCGGTTTCACATGTAAGAGATTGAGCAGTTCCGAACCTATTTGGTCAATTGCTGAGGTAATGGCATTTTATAGCATCTTTTATCCCATTTTCAGGTGCTAAAGCAGAGTTGCACGGAGATTTGCTAGCTATCCCAAATCTATATTTAGCTTTGCAGAAACACTTTAACCACTGTCTGTATCACAAACGAGATTAAAACTCCAACTAGATAATTCAGTTTGCAACACTTATTTAAGCAGTTTCTATATTAAAATGGCCATGGAGCATTGTTGCAATGTTGGCTGATGATAATATTTCTCTCTTGTATCCATATAGATGAAGAACTTTTGCTTCAGTGCAATTTTAGTGTCCTGATTTAAGCAGAGTTATGCCCAGTCAATAATGTAATTTGTTGAATTACTGTAAGGTATTATGTATTAACGCTTTGCTTGTGGGAAATTGCAGTGAATTCAGGTACTGTGTGGTTTCGTGAAGTTGCTGTCTGAATGTAGTATGTCAAAAGGATGACTTCTGTGGGGTGAAATGACTCACTGCTTTTTATTAATTGTTAGGCTGAATTCCCTCGACTTCCCCAAGATCTGAAAGGAGAAACATTTTCTCATGTATTTGGAACTAACACTTCTAGCCTGGAACTTCTGTTGATGAATAGGAAGATCAAAGGACCATGCTGGCTGGAAATAAAAAATCCACGTATGGTAGTTTGCATGTGGAATACTTGTTTGCCGAAAAACACACACAAATATAAATTGTGGGGAGAGAGGGGGGACGGGGAGAATTAAATTGTCCTGATAAATCAATTTACGACATGGGAATTTATCTCGGTAATTTTCTTAATTTAGTACAGATTGTAGCTTGTATTGTTCCTCTTTTGTGTGAGAGCTCTATCGATACGAAGTTACACACAGTACAGATGAGATTATAACTTTGAGTAGTTGTGTATAGGAAAGTTTATTTGGGAAGAATACCCCAACGACATATTCTGCACAGAGTGTATAAGGAGAGAACAGTCTCAACTCTGTCTCTCCCTAGTCCCTATGGCAGTGAGATCTAGGCAGTCCCTAGCAGCTACTCTTTGGTATGTACCCTAAAACTGTGCCTACTGAACTAGTTAAAATCCATTTCCTAGAAATCTATTCCTTTTTCTTCTCTTAATACTTTGAGAGGTTTTTTTTTTTTACCTCAAATATATCTTTTTAAGAACAAGCTACTGCTAGATGGCTTGCTTGTTTGCTTTTGCGGTATGAATTGTGGTGCAAAGCCTTTTAGTTTGGGGCTTGGTTAGAGCCCTTTTGTTCAGTGGGTGCTGTATATTCCCAAGAATGCAGAAAAGCTAATGCTACAGGACGAAAGCTACGTCTTTTAGGACAAGGTCTTCAAGGCGCTTTGAATGTAGAATTGACGATATCGAACTCAGGACTATTCTAATTTTCAGCAGCTTCAGTAACTCTCAAAGCTGATACTAATGAGGATTTTGAGCTGGAATAGACAAGATAAATCCCTGATTGCCAAACGTAGATTAGCTCTGATGGCCTTTTCACCAGGCACTGGCAAACATCAGTCACTATAAAGGTACCTCGTGGTCTTAAAGGCGTAAGAACAGTTTTTCATCTTTGTTCTCCTCACAAAGATTGACCTCGCATGTCTTTTATATTTTCTTTTTTCACCCCCAAAGAGGCTGAAGCTGTTTCGTTCCTTAAGTCCAGCATGGCAAGTGTCATTGTAATGATAACTAGCAGTTTAGGCAGTAACAGTTCCATTCTACTAAATGTTGATTTGCATTCTCTCCAGTTAGACTATTTTGCTTAAGCTCAGGTACTGATGCCACTTCAGAATTAAATGCTATGCTAAGGGAGCTCTTTTATCCCATTCTCACGTCTCCATTACAGTCTTCGGATTCCAGAGAGAGTCCATATTTTGATGTCAGAATTGCTGATTTCAAAGCTGTGTCATGCCCACTCTCTTGAAAACTGTATTTGGCTGGCTGGTTATACTTACGCAAATTTCTTCAGCCATGGCACTGGATTTTGTGCCCCAAAGCAGGTGGTTTTTTGTGTAGTTGACCAGAAGATGTTTACTTTCTTGCAGCTTCCCTTCCAAACTTTCCATAGGCTGATCTTAGGGATAGGAAGTATGTCTGTTGGATTTAGAATAAGCAATTCTCAAACCATTGGATTTATCTCCTGCAGCTTTCCTGGAGCCTGTCATCACTATCCGTAATGTAGCTGTCTTTGCATCTTGAACATCAGTGCTAGATAGCATCAGAGCTTTTCTAGAGTGCTAGCTGAAGCTCTGAGTGTTAAGATACTGAAGATCAAAGGAAAAAGGTGTTAAGCAATTCATTCGTTATCCTTTTCCTTTGGACAGATCATCAGTGTTTGATAAATGAAGATGGTTTAGTCAGCTGCCTCTTATGAGACTGTTATGAGAGAGGATAAAATATGTGGGTTTCCGGAGAGATGTCAAGGAATTTTGCAATGAGTAAGATAAACAGGATACCAATGGTTACCTTCAAAAATTTAATCCCTCAAAAGTTTAATCTTTGTTTCATTATAAGTGCATGTCATGAGTTATGTCGTGACAATTTTTTGTGAATGACCGCTTCTTTTTTTAAAGCAAGTGAGCTATTGAAGGCTAAAATGGGTGGTAAACACATCTTTAAATATCTATACCTAATATGCACACGCGTACACCCACAGACATACACACATCACGTGTGTATGTGTGTTTGTGTATATATATGTTTAAAAAAAATTAGTTCTTGTACATTTGATCTTTAAACAACTTTTTATGCTCTTTGTTACATTTTAGGAGAGCTTATACTACCAAGGTAGGATGAGCTCTCTTTCTATGACATCCCCATCTTATTTCCATAATTATTTTACTGAAGGACTATATCTAAATAAATTATTCAGCACATTTCAGTCAGTCATATGCTAGCTATGTTCTTTTTCTCGTTTGATAAAAATTGATTTGATTAGCACTCTGGCTGCCTTTTCTGTAGTGCTTGAAAAATTTCTATGTATTCTTTGATTTCAGTTTTATTCTTTTATTTTTATTAAACCTTCCACCAGTCAGTCCAAAGACTGACTACAAGATTAGATGCTGAGAGTTATTAGGTGGAGGTACAGAATTTAGGTGGAGTTATGCTCACTTGGCTTGTACCTTTCTCTGCTATGACTCTGTATAAAGTTGACTGGAGTACTTTTTGCATTATACTGCGTTGTTCTGTTAGACTCCCTTGAGAGAGGCTTCTCATTTTGGAAGAAGAGAAATATGTGCCTCTTCTTTGACTCTTACATTGAGATTCAGATTTAGAAAAGGACCTGAAGGATGCTTACAGCTGCCTGACCATTAACGGAGAGATAGCAATTAACACCTCCAGATGGATACTGCTTACATTTTTTGTCACATAGGTGTTGGGGGAGTGAATCCACATCTAAGCGTGTCTGCCCCAACTTCAGACACGTAGCTGTGATGTGTGAATTGGGAACCCAGCAGCCTTGGGTTGTTAAGAGGGAAGAAGGGGCATCCTCCTGGCCTAGATACAAATCTTCCCTCTCTTCTTTGATGTTAGAGAGCGTCTGGTGTGATGCGGCCTCAGGCTGATGTGCTTCAGGGAATTACCAAAAGTTTGGTGGGATTAGTCTGGACCTTAGACTATTCATCACGGACAAAACATTAAAGGAACACGCTCTTCAGAACGGCATTGTTAGAAAAGTTTTGGCTGTGATTCCTGGAAGAGTGAAGGTGGTTCATGTTATTTCCTTAGAGCCCTCAAATCAGTCAGTCAGCTGGTGCAAGGTAGAAGCAGTGGCTGTGAAACCTGTCTTCGTGAGCGTGGTTAAAGATCTTTCTCCTCCTCCTCCTCTTGTGGTCATGTCCCTCAGCATGAAGACGATTCAGAATCCAAAGACTCACCAGAATGAGGTAAATAACCTGCTCTGATTTTGGTTTGGTTTTGTTCTGTTCTTTGGCATGCGCTAAGAATTCTCTGAGACTTGAAAGAACTGCACCTGACAAACTATGTCTAATTGTATTTGCTTTTGAATAAAATTTCTGTGCAGCTGGCTTTTCAAAGAAACTTTTACTGAGGTCTTAACTTAACCGTAAGTCAAGCTCTGTGGGTTCAGTGGGCCTATTTGATTAGAATTTATTGTTAGTGCAGATTCTACATATGTATTTTTTCCAAGCCTTATATTTTGCTTTTGCATGTAAGAAACAGCCACAAATGAGGCTATCTCTGAACAGATGTTAATGAATTTTTTTTTTTTGGTAAGTTTAAGCATTATATGTTCTAGATAAAGTGACCAATTTTTTTTTCTGATAAACTTATTCTGAAACAGAATGAGAGTCAGTTTTATAGTACCTATTACACTACTGTGAGATTCTTTCCTTTCTTCGCTAGGAGAGAAGTAGGTAGCCACGCTCAGTTGTGGACTGTATACCACAAATTGTGATTAAACATATTTAGCTGTTTTCTAACATAGATCTCCCTGGCTTTGTACTTAATATTTTTAGTTTCTAGATAATTATTTGTGGCTGATTGTTATTAAGAATGGAAGAAATATTACAAAAATTTTTGGTCAACATTTTCCAAACAGAAGTAGTCCTTCTGCTCAATTTTTTAAATTAATTTTTTAGGTAGGGATAATTCCCAATTTCTGACCAATCTAAGGAGACACAAGCCAGGAATGAACAGGAGTCTGCTACCAAGATGTTTTTAAAGCCTGACTGCTTTGTCTTGTGTGTATTTTCCTTAGCGATTTCTGGGGAGCCAGGACTACCTGCCAGCAAAGCAAGGAGGAGGATTGTTAGAGCAATAGCTTCTAGATGCTAAAAGCTCAAGTCTTCTTGACAGTCTTGAGTGCTTGCTTGGGGCTTCTTGTTCAGGCACAGCCCTTCCGGAGGGACGGGTACTGTGTGTCCTGCCCTACTTATACTTCCTCTTTACTTCATAGGGAATCCTTCAAATTATGGGATCTGTTCAGATTCTGAACAAAATTTGATGAAAGCAGAATTTTCCAAAATGAACTATTTCTTCCCTCAAAAGTTCTAAGCTAATCACTTAGTAATAACTTCTCAATAATGAATAATTCTCAATAATTTTTATTTTACCTAAGGTCAACTGATAGCTTACCTTCCTTTTAACTCTTTATAGTTGAGTTTCATGTTAAAAAAGGTCTTTTGTGGAAACAAGAGAAAATAGATGAGGATACTTTGAAAAGGAAAAAAGGAGTGAAGAAATAAGTACTGTTAGTGGTCAGTGATATTTTGTGTTTTATATTTCCTTGGTATAGATTGTGGCTGTTGCAGCTCTGATTCATCAGAAATTTCCTTTGGATAAGGCTCCACCGCAGCCTCCTTTTCAGACGCACTTCTGCGGTAAGTACTTGGAACAGGTTATGAGTGGAAAAATAATCCTTCAGAGCTTTTATAACTTCACGCTTTCTCTAGCAATAATGGCTTAAAATATGGGTGGTTGTAGAGAGCTAAATAGGCAAGTGACAGAGTTTTGACTCTTAAGCTGGCATTTCTCCCTGTTTTTAACTTGACTGGATACTGACTCTCTTTTATTTAAAATTTTAGTTTGAGATGATGCACAGTAACCCTGCTTTTGTATAGTTCTTGACCTTTTTTGTTAGTTTTACTTTATTGTGTGTTTTCTTCAATTAAACAGATCAGTTTCTTTACCCATGAATTTAGACCTACAGAAAGTCATTTATCAGTTTAGCTCTTCTCAGTGTTTATTTTTACAATTCTGTTAAGTTTGTTTATAAACAAGTTTTCTTTAAAAAAAAAAAAAAAAAAAAGGAAATTCTCCTGCAGCAGTGTGATTACAGTAGGACCAGCTTGTGGGCTTTTTGACGTTACATGGAACTGAGGTTATCAAACTCTGACTGAAGGTGACAAGGCGTTTTGGATGCGTGTTAGAGGAAGTTCTTAAGAAGCTGTCAGCCACAGTTTATGACTTCAAATATGACTAATTACTGTCCTAATTACTCAGTTATCTTAAAGGTATACATACATACAATGTCTATCCAAAATTCACAGTGGATTCAAGTAACTTTAGACAAAGCTGGAATACTTGGTTAGTAGTTCTTGCCAAGAGGGAATCTAGGTCAGATGATTTGTTCCGGGTTCATGTCTCATCAGTTGCCTTTTCTGAGCACCTTTTTTACAAGAAGTTGTAAACTTACGAAATCTAAAGCTGGGGTAGGCTGCCTGCAGTAACTCACAATCTGTTCTTGTGGGCTTTTTTTTTGTTCATCTTTTCATTATGCTAGCCACATCAGTAAAAGGTGAAGAGTTAAATAAGGCTTTTTACATAGCCGATTAGTAGGGAAAAAAAAAATTGCAATTGTCATTTGGTAGACATTGCTTTTAATACAAGAATTTCATGTTTCACACTCTTAGTCTTAAAGGCATGTATTCGCATAAAGCTAGCCTTTTTGAGTTAGAGGTCGATTTTTCCCTAGCTCCCTTTGTTGCGAGTGGGTGCTTACGGAGGGGACAATTAATAACATTTAAGAAAAAATACAATTTCTCTTACAGTTGTTTCCAAACCGAATGATTGCATTTTTCCTTATGACTTCAAAGAAGCTATTAAAAAGAAGGTAATTTCATTTTCCTAGCCTTCTGATTGTCATACCTTTTAAAATATGGGTTTCATGTTGTTTTGGGTGAGTTGTGTAAGAGGGCTGTTCAAAGGCATGGCGTGATTACTTCATTAGCTTTCTACTCCGAAAGCCTAAATCCAGGTATTTATTCCGAGTTGCTCGTAAAAACAGAGCTGGTGTGGCTCTGTGCAATTTAGTGCTACTGCTAGTTGTACTCATAAAATGGATGGAGCTTTGGACCGGGGAGTTGGCAAGGATTTGCAATGAAGTTAAAATTGTGGTTTGTTTTCATTATACCTGGCTGTGTACTCAGAGTAAACCAGATGAGTTTGTTTCTCTGTTTCTTGGACAGTAAAGTCTGTCAAAATTTAAGAGAGCTCCTTTCTATGATTCTGTCAACCTTTCCAGCACCCTTTGAAGTAGCCTATATTTGTTTTTCCTGTATGTTTCTGTGTGATCTTAAGTCTGTGAATGAAGATTGTGCATGTAGCATTTTCCTGGTGTGCTTGATTCTTAGGAAGCTCTTAAAATGCCACTAGGCACCTGCATACAAAAGCAGAATGGGAAAAAAGCCTCTGAGAAAAGCTTTCTACACCTATGCAAGTGAGAACAAAAGGCTTTGGATTATAGAAGGAAAAGGAAAACTCTGTGGTGCTTTGTTATTGTCTTGTAACTAGTAGGGGAGAGGAAGATGTTTCCATTTTAAACTTATTGGGTCATTGAAATCAGGTGCTCTCTTGCTCCTTTTAGAATGCTAAAATAGAAATTGCTGCGACAGAGAGAACACTGCTGGGATTTTTCCTTGCGAAGATTCATAAAATTGACCCAGATGTTGTTGTGGTGAGTAGTTCTCAGACTTTAAGAGTTGAATTAAAGCATATTGTCAGTTGGTCAGCTTTGTTCTTTTCCTTCTAGCTCCTTTCAGGGTTTTTTTTTTTTTATATCTTAGACTATCTTATAAATTGAATTTGCTTATAAGACAGCAGGTTCGCTTCCATACAAAGACGATACAGAATTTTCCCTGAAAGTGTTTTATACATCCTATTATTTTCCGTAATATCTGAAATACATTTTTTTCCTTAACTCACAAAGAGAAAACGAAAAAACCCTGTGATTTTCTAGGATAATGTGAACTCTTGGTATAGTCAAGTCTGTTTCAGTTCAGATGTTCATATAAGTCCTACTGCCGTTTAAATTGTTCTTATGACATAAATCATAATGATAGCCTGTACAAATCCATGGGATCCGTGGGGCAGCTGAAGATTTGTTACAGTTACTCATTTTCTTTTTTTGTTGCGTTTAATTAATGTATGGTCCTGAATTTCGTTTAATAAAATTTTGAAGACAATTTAAAATGATTAGAAGTTAGTTATATATAACTTCTTATGACTGTACAGGTCAGTACATATAATTTAAAACAAATGGTGAGAATGGGAGGAGGTTAGCAATCGGATTCCTGATGTGTGCAGCTTGCTGTGGCTGATAACAAGTATTCGCCCTATGAGCTGACCTGCCTTGTGGCTGTGGAAGGAACCAGTAGAAACACTGCAAGCAATTTGGGATGCTGGTAGATGAGTAGTAGGGGTATGAGAGTTCGGATCCTAAGACCGGCGGAGATGTGCTAGTATAGTTTACACCTGGTTTAATTAATGCTCTTGAAAAGAGGATATGTCAGTATAGGCAGAAGACCATTCTGCTATGGCTGAAGAACTTGTGATCGTTTCAGGGAGGTTCTTCTATGGCACTGTGCTGTGCAGACGTATGTGAAAGGTGAACCTGCACTTCGAGGTGGCTGGCAGGCCTGCGCTTGCTGATCAGGGCAGCGTTTTGCTTTCCACCGAGGTTACAGGCCAGTGTCACCAATTTCCTTAGCACAGTTGAAACTTTGCAGATACTGCTGGAGTACTCTGATGTATAAATACTGATAGCCAGGTCTTCCTCTCCAGATTTAACAGCTGTGCCTGGCGTAGTAGCAAAAGATTTAAGGGAAATAAACTGGTACCGTTTTCCTGTCACCACAGAGACTTTTATAGACGGAGAGAAAAGGAATTACTTGTACATGACCTTATATGCTATATAAGGTGTATTCTTTTCTAGAAGACTTTAAATCTGAATCTGTTTAGTTTCAAAGCGTAAAGCGGAATGGCACACGTGCCGTAAGCTAGTTATAGAGCTGATTTTGGTGTTCTGCTGAACAGCGTTGTTAAGACTAATGAGTATTGTTGATGAATGTTCTCTTAGAAAGTGCTTTCTATGAGAGAGATAATGCCATCAGTTAGCTGAAAAAAACACAGAGGGCAAAGGAATGCGAAGTGTGTGAAAGTAAGTATTTAATTTGCATTTGTTGTAACCTTTTTTTGTTATTTTTTCTGCTGCAAGGGTCATAATATTTATGGATTTGATCTGGAAGTGCTGCTTCAAAGAATTAATGTGTGCAAAGTCCCTCACTGGTCCAAGATAGGTCGACTGAGGAGGTCCAACATGCCGAAGCTTGGGGTAATAAGATTGCTCAAGTCTTTTAAGCCCCTTTATGTTGCATATGATTAAAAATGAATTAATTTTGCTGAGGAATTGAAAATGTGATTCTGATGTATTTTGACTGCTGGTCATGCTGGATTTCATGTGTCCCAGAGAAGAAGTGATGAGTGTTGATTTGACTTTTATTACAGTAATAAGCTAAACTAATTTTCAAGTTAGTTTAATTTAGTTTACGTATCTTAGCTAGATGATGATAATGACAGATTAATTGCGATAGTCTTTACTGTAACTGTCTTTGTCTGCTGTAACTGTAAAATGAGAAAATGTAATTTAGATTGATTGGTGAATCATCCCACAGAGAGCTGCTAAGTTAATAGTTTGGTAGTTCTTGGCATGTACTCATTCAGAGGACAGTACGTGAGGCTTGCTGTATTGAAGTACAGAACCTGACTGTGTTCATGTCTGCTCCTGTCCCTCCTAGACCTCAAGATGAGTATTTTTGTGTGTGGCTGTGCTGTGACTCTCTAGTCCTGCTATTAGTACAAAAAATATCCTCAGAGAAAAAAAAATTTGCACACGCATTTTCATTTGGAGTTTTCTTCTTTAAAAAAAAAAAAAAAAAGTGACAGTTTAAGAACTAAGATCTAGTTAGTAAGGGGAGTTAGGTATCTGCTTCTTCATATCCATATTTTGTATTGAAATATACCTTGAATTTCTTTAGGGAAGAACTATAAGGCCTATGCGTTTCAGTGGAAAATTCCAATTGACTTCACTGAGTCCGATTAGCTTATATTTTGGATGCATGTGCTTTGTTAATGTTTGTGTGTTGTGTTGCTTGTTTATTTCTTTTTCTCCTTGTGTGATATGGTTCAGGGTCGAGGAGGATTTGCTGAAAGGAATGCTGCTTGTGGTCGAATGATCTGCGATGTAGAAATTTCAGCTAAAGAATTAATTCGTTGCAAGAGTTACCATTTGTCTGAACTGGTTCATCAGATTCTGAAAACGGAGAGGGTAACAATTCTACCAGAGGAAATTCGAAATATGTACAGGTGTGTTGCTGACTTACGTTTTTAATCCTTCACTGGAAAGTGGAGGAAATGTTTAGTTTCCCACTGTATAATTTCATGCTTTTCTATTTGATTTATCGTGGAAATACTGACTTAACACATCAGTGTGTGAAAAATAAAATATTTTCTTAATAGTGTTTTACGCTGCTAACTATTCCTAACAGCACTGATTCTGGTGGGTGGTGGCTTACTATGTTCAAAGCAAATTGATTTGTGAGAGTGTTGCATTAGATACACTAATAGGGTATGCAAACTTGTTTTTTGCAGTTAAAAGAGCTTGCTGTATAACTCAGCACTTGCATACTATGGATACCGCATGATTTCAGTATGAAATATAGGTCTGATCTACTATAGAGTACGTAGGAACCTGATTTTACTTTAATAGGCCTTTCCCCTTCTTTTCTCAGTGATTCTCCTCACTTAATGTTCATGCTGGAAAACACCTGGACAGATGCCAAGTTCATTCTCCAGATCATGTGTGAGCTGAATGTTCTGCCACTCGCCCTCCAGATCACAAACATCTCTGGGAATGTTATGGTACATTTTTATTACTTTTTCAGTTGTTTTATTACTTACTTATTTTTTATTACACAAAAAAATTATTTATGTTCAGTGTTCAACTGTTCAAAAATTTCATCTTACAAACACTAATTCAGAATATATGATCCTGTAAATCTGGCTGTGAAAAGTGAGTTTGACGCTCTGGTCAAATAATAATGTAAAAAAAAATCCATAAAATTGACATTTGAATGTAATGCATGTTAATGAAAAATAGAAAAATAGCATAATGCTAAATGAACTTATAGACAGTTGTTGAAAGACTTGTCTTAGTCTGGTTTTGCATGTCAGCATTTATTTTCTATGCTTTGTTTTGAATTCTTTGTTTTCCTCCCCTCTCTGTAGTCAAGGACAATGATGGGTGGACGATCTGAACGAAATGAGTTCTTGCTGCTTCATGCATTTCATGAAAAAGACTATATAGTGCCAGACAAACAAATTTTTAAAAAGCCTCTGCAGAAGCTGGTGAGTCCAGAGTTTTTAAAAACATTATCTCTTTAAGAATTTTTGTTTTTCTATCTTTTGCCTGCTACTATTCTGTGAGAGCATGGAAACATGTCTCGGATGCAACTTAATTTTACAGCTTATGATTATTTCAGTAAAGGTTTTTTGCTAAGCTGATAAAGGAGAAATGTATAGTGTAAAGGAACATTGTATCACCTTCAAATTTACGAAAACTTCATTGCTCTTGTAATTTAAAACTGAAATGAGTGAAGTACTTGGCCCTGTAGGAAAATATTACTGAAGAAGGCAGACTGTGTGACTTAATTGAAACACTTTTGTCCTAGAATTAAGAAAAACTATTTCATTGATAAACAGTAATTTAAGTGTAAGTTGTAAGGTAGATGATTTGAGTATGTGGGTAAAATTATCCAAAGGAATTTAAAAAAAAAACAAAAAAACTTTCAGATAATGCCGGTGTAAATATATTTATAGAAACGCATATGATTGTTTGCAAAAAGAACATTTAAATTATATTTTTATTTCACTATTTTTGCTTTTTAGTTTTACCTTGAAGCAAATTTAACAGCAAATTCCAAAGCAGTGAAGTCTGTTGATTGTATTGATGCATCAAAACAGTTCTTGGATTTTAAATGATTCAGAATAACGTTGAGCTCCTAGAGAAAAATTTCTTGCTGAAGCAAAACAAATGGCAAAGTACACTTCAGTTCTGCAATAATATTTGTATTTGTTTAGCAAAGGCCTATTGTATTTCCAAATCTACATTTTGCTCTTATTTGGGCAATAACATCTCATGAGTAGATTTTCTTTTTTCTTTCTCTGTGTGTTGACTTTTACAGCCAATGAGAAAATGTAGCCTAGTGCTGTGTTCAAGGATGACAGGTCCTTTAAGTCATTGTAATCTCTTGTGATCAGTTTGTTCCCATAGGAGTAGTTCTGAATGCTACTTTGAGATGCAGAGAGCTGTAGTGAGGATCATGATGGAAATGCGATGTTTTGCATCTATTTTAGAAGGAACTCCTATTCAGTGACTCCCAATTTCATATTTGATTTGCCAAAAATATTTCCTCCGACGGTATAGGCTAGATGATGTTTTTTTTTTTTTAAATGCCAAATGTAGGTGGATGAAGATGAAGATTTTGAAGATCAGAATAAATCAAAGATAGGGAAAAAGAAAGCAGCATATGCTGGGGGATTAGTCTTGGATCCTAAAGTCGGTAAGATGTGGCGATTTCCTTTCTTCTTTGAAGTCAGAAACAGGTAGGTTATATGAATGCAAAAGATTGCAATGGGCAATGTATGTATCTCGTTGTTGTTGTTGTTGTTGTTGTTTTTTAATGTGCAAGAAAATGCCCAGCGTCGTGGAATTATTTATTCTTGGGAAGTTTCTTCTTAGCTGGGTAAGGGTAAGGTCTCGAGAAGAATCAGGACTCTATGTCTGTGTATAATTTTCTAATGGACACGTAAGTTTTCTTTTGGTTTCTCCTCTCTGTGGGGAAAACTGTACAAGTGTCCTATAGTAACACAGAAGCTATCTGTTCAACTCTGATGAGTTAATGGGGTTGGATCGTTCCACTTCTGACATGTCTCTGTAATGGATAGTGGTACATCTCAACAGTTATTTAAGGGATTTAGATGCTGGAAATATTATATGGTGTATTTCTGCATTTAAATAAAATCTGATCTCTGGAATCAAGCTATTTCTCTAATCTATAAGCATGTGACTGGAACTGACAGACTTTGATTTGATTCAGGTCCATTCATGTAGAAGGGTCTTTCCTAGATAAGACTTAACAAATGTTATGGTCCTGTCTCATGTCTTTTGCATCTTTGTGTGAAGTCTTCTCTTGCATCACAAATGCAGCCAAATAATTAAATTGTTTCTAATGTTAGTTTGCATTTTTTTCAATGTGCTATAATAATTGTGGAGTTGGATCAAGTCCTCAGACTGAGTAATCATGCCTTCTGTTCTAAACTCTGTTTCAGGTTTTTATGACAAGTTTATTTTGCTTCTCGACTTCAACAGCTTGTACCCATCAATTATCCAGGAGTTTAACATCTGCTTTACCACAGTGCAGAGAACGTCATCAGAAGCACAGAAGAGGGCGGAGGTTTGTGTGCTTTAACTTGTAACTTAGGTTACACTGTCTAAGTTCAGTGTATTTTCTGTGAATCAGCTTTTCAAGAAATTATTATTTTTGTCTGTTTGATTTCACTTTTTCCTCTCACTTTTTTTCCTCTTTTAAGAAAAGTGATTCTTATTTAAAGAGGTAACATAGTGAGTTTTGGTTTGGGGTTTTTTGAATGTTACATCAGTCTGTCTTCTTCCTTTCAGCAATACTCTGTAAGAATGTTATAAAGTTCTCTTCCATCTAAGCAAGACCCATTGTTTTCTAGCTTGTTTTCCTAATGAAAGAAGATTGATAATCAGGCTGTGTTGGTCCTCTTTTCCCCCAGGTCCTCCTAGTAATATTTGAGCCCTTTGACCAATTTCATCTTAACTTGATTGAGGCTTCTCAAAGTTAAGTTGCTACAGATTTCATGCGAATAGAGACCTGAATGAAGGAGAGACAGCTGTCTTGTGCTTCTGCTTAGGGAAAGCATGCAATATGAGCTCAACCCTTGTTAGATACCAGAGAAACTGGGGGAAAGGAGGACACAGAGAATGATTCTGTGACTATGTGAGCTGCAGGAGCAGCTTCACTGAAATGCATGCTGTATTAAATAGGACTGAAAAAATTCCTCAAGGTGTGGTTCCGTGTGCTTTTTTCTCAGCAGTTGTGTTGGCCACGTGCTGACCTTGGCTGCTCGTTCTTACTTCCTCAGCTGTAGTGGCACAGTTTTTGGCAGAGCTGTGCTGTAAGCTGAAGCAGTAAGCTGTTCAGGTCTAAAGGTTAAACTTGAGGCTTTTATTTTTAACTGGGATCAGCTCACTGGTTGGCATTAGTCTGTTCTCCCATAGGTAGTTGTGCCATCACAACTAAAATATCAGTGCTACAGCAGAAATAAGGAAAAAAGTATGTGGAGCTCTTTCATTTAGTACCTCCAAAGTTTCTGTGGATTTATCTCTCTTTCTTAAATGTGTTTCAAGCTGAAGCAGCTAATTGTAATTTGTACCAGTGCACTGTATTTACTTAAGTTTTGATGTTGTTTCTTGTTATGGTTCTTCCCAGACTGCTTTCTAAACTTGCTCACCTATAGTCTCTCTGTTGTTCTGGTTTTTTGTTTCTTGAGTTTTTTTTTTTTTGTTCTTCCTCCTTTATGCTTGAAATTTCTATTTTTGTTGAGCAACTATTTCTTCAGTTATGCTAAAAGGACAAAATGTGCTTTCTACTAGACTGCTGTTTTGCTATACTCAGAGTTGCTGGGGGGGGGTCATTCTGTTACTCTGTTTTTCTTCTATCAATTGTCTTATTCCAAGTATCAGTTCCCCTAGGCTTTTCATGGGATCTTTCAATTCTGTGCCTCAGTGAGGATGAGCTGCCGCATTTGTGCGGTGAGAGTTAGTGCAGCAGGTTAGATGTGGGGGAGTGGGAGGGAGAGACTGGGAGCAGATGTTCAGCTCTGCCAGACCCTCTGCCTTCCTCTGCTTGCACGCTTCCCAGACCTCCAGGAGGTGTTCCTGGGAAGAGACAGTGCTGCATTGTCTTCTCCTTTGCCTGGTAAAGGAGGGGTGGAGAATGGGGTATGGAGGAAGAAATGGTGGGGCTAGACTTCATAGATCTCACCTCTTCCTAAGGAGCCTTTCTAGGTAATAGAACATCCGTCCAGTGATGTTTTGGTCTCCAAAGTATAAAATATTTTGTTGAATGTCAATATAAAGTCCACATGTGTCACTCCAGATGCAGCTCTCTAAGCTTTGTAACCTATCTAGCCATTATCTTACCTTTCCTTTCTTCAGTGACACTGATGTGCTTCTGAATGATGTGATTTGAGGTCTAGATGTGATATAGGGAAACTGAACTGGGAAGGGGGCTTAAATTCAAAAGGTACTCTGGGCCTGCTTAAGCAGAGACTAAGTAATGTAGTTAAGGACCACAAAAAAATTCACTCGTGCCTGTTCTAAACTGTCCTTTGGGTACTTTGTAGAAGTAGATGCAAGCTGTTTGGTTGGTTGTTTTTTTTAATTCAAGCTTTTCACTAAACACTTTTAAACTCTATCATTAAAACCTATCCTTCAAGCAGGGGAAAAAAAAAAAAAGCTGTTGGTGATTGTTTGACAGGTTGAAGAAGAAGAAGAAATTCCAGAGCTTCCGGACCCGTCTCTGGAAATGGGAGTTTTGCCTAAAGAAATCAGGAAACTTGTGGAGAGAAGGCGCCAAGTTAAGCAGTTAATGAAACAGCCAGATTTAAATCCTGACCTTTATTTACAGGTGTGTTTTACAGAACTCTCTTGATTTTCTTCCCACTCTCCTAAGTGCACTGATCAGCCTTGCAGAACAGGGATGATTAACAGTCAGTAGTGATTGTAATATGCTTTACTTGTAGCTCATCATTGCTCCAGACTATATAAAGAGCTATGAGTGTAATTGTGAACATTAAATTCTGTTCTCTGTTGGTTATGGTTGTATCACTTTACTGGTTATGTTTCTTTTCAGTATGATATCAGACAGAAAGCTTTGAAACTCACTGCTAACAGTATGTATGGCTGCCTGGGATTTTCCTACAGCAGATTCTATGCCAAACCTTTGGCTGCTTTGGTGACGCATAAAGGGAGAGAGGTAAGTCATTAAATAGGTTATGAACACATGTAAAAATGGTGAATTTAAGCCACCTACATTTTCACTGAATATGAGAGTGGTCTTCACTCATTTTTGAACCTGCTTTCTGGTTTTTGAACAGTAGTTTTTGTCTCTCTTGTACTGCCAAAGTTGGAGAAGAGAAACTGGTATCCAGGAACAAATCAGATAAATATTAAAAAAAATATATATATTAATAATATTAAAAATCCAACCAACCAAACTGAAGTTCCAGCTTGGGCTTTATTCTGAATTAAACTGTTTAATTTCAATAGACCAGATTATGGTAACAAAAAAATCAAGGCTGTTTTCACGTTTTCCGTGAATTTCTAGTTCTGCTTCATGGTTTAGTCTTTAATTCAGCAGTATAGTTCAGATTTGGTTGCACTTGTCTTTGGCAATCTGTCCTTTGCCCTGATATGTTGAGTTTCCCAAAACTCTTAACTTTGTGACAGGGCTAATTAATTACTTGACATCAGTGGATTATATATCAGGGCTTTGCCTTTCTGAAACTTTTTGTTCCATGAAATGAAGCTTTGCATGGGCAAGCCAATCAAGAGGCCAGATTTTATTTTTGAGATTCTTAACGATATAGCAAAAATACTTTACCTCTTGTTTAGGATAGCAGCTGAATGCTTACCACATCAGTTTGGTCCCAGTGGAAAAAATAATCATTTCAGATCCAAAACATACCACTGACGTACAGTGTCTTAAAACACAGTTTGCATACTGCTTCATTTTAATTCTTATATAAACGAGAATGCCAAGCGGGAAGCTACAAAAATGCAGGGGAAGGATGTAACAGGATGGTTGGCTCCTATTAATCTTTTAGTTGACCAGAGAGACGGATGAGTTCAGAAGCTTGTAATCCCTGTGACTTACGGGAGCAGCGCTCCTTGCTGGACTACCCATTCATTGCACTGAAGGTCCGTTCACAACTTCCAGCTGATGTGCACAGGGATATTTTGTTTCTGATAACGTGTCGTTATTTTTCTAAGTCTTCCCATAGAAACTGTTCTCTAAAGACAACCCCCCTATGCTGTCCTCCCAGGATTTCTTTAGGCATTATGTTTAACCTTACACACATGTGTAACTGGGAAATCATTTCCAGCTTCAAAAGGTAACGGTGAGTGAATTATGTGTGCAAATGAATTCAGATGTTGGCATTTCCTTTAAGGAAGTGGTGTCTTTTTTTTGTGAGTTTTTGATGTGCTTGTCTGCCAGGCTGTCATGAAAAACAGCTTGTGATCATGATTATAAGTTTAATATTTTAATTTTTGTAGCAATATTTTAAAAGTCGTGGATTTGTTTGAAACTTGAAGATTTTCATTAGACGTGTAGAACACCTGTCACAAACTAGTTATTGTATAGACCCTTGAGCTTTTGGCCTTTGTATTAAAGGGGAAATATACTTTTGGATTGCACATGCAGTTTATTATTTGGGGTAGATTGGTGTTCATTACTCTGGATACTGTGGAGATAACAAAGCTTTGAAAAACTTGACAAATGTCCAAAATGTTCTGTAGTTTTGTTCTGTTTAAATATGACCGATTCTGATGAAATACATTGTATATGCCATGTTCTGAAAACTTTTGTTTTTTAGGCAGGTAGTCAGTTAACAGATACAGCTTTATTCCTTCCTTATTTCTTAAGTAGCTTTTGCCATAAAAGATGATATAAGGCAGTTCAGTTACCTGTTTTGTGAGTTGGAATATTCTATCTAGAAAAATAATGTTTTAAACCCTTCCTTACGTTAATCTTTCCATTCATAGGTTTCCACTTAACACTGAATGCTAATGTAAAATAGATGAGCAGGTTTGGTCTCTTTCGTTAATATACATTGATACAGCCTTTTCTGACGGTCAATGGTTAATACTACTTTTAGCTTTTTAAAATGTATGCAATACTGGTGTGGAGAAAACCTGAATAAATGCAGGTGGGCTTGCAGATGTCTCTGATGTAGGTGTCTAAGGGGGGAAAATACTGTATGGGATGAAAAGTGAACTTAATGTTTTCTTACGCTGACACAATTACAGTTCAATCATAAGTCTTAGCAGAAAAAAATTGAAGTGGGGAATAATACTTTTCAAGTTAAAGAAGTCCTTATTGAAGATTAATGTATTGTTAACTTTAATGTAGCTGAGAGGAAGTGAGTTTTGATGACTTCCATAAATTGCTGCTTTCTAATTTTGTGACTGAGAATCCCTTAACCGAAGTAGGAGGAAGACAGAACTGAAAGCACGTGATGCTGGCTGCTCTGTATTACCTCTCGTGGAGTGCAGCTCCTCTTTGTGAGATGCAGGTTTGGCTCCGGCAGCGCACTAGAAGCGCTGGAAGTACTAGAACTACTACGGAGTTCTGTACGTTAACTAAACGTTCTGGTAACGTGACACGTTATGTTTCCTGTAAAATGGCACATGGTTGTTTGTTTAAAACTGTGCCGGTGTGTAACATGTTTACTTCATTTTGATGGGAAAAGTGTTAAGTACGATATAGATGGGATGCCATTTATGTCAGAACGTGGCTTTAAGACAAGAGAGTGAAATCCGTAAGCCATTGACAAAAGTTTCCTGTAAGAGCTCAGATCTCTTTGGTCAACCGTAGTGAGATATGTGACGGTGATTGACCTTGACTTACCTTGACATACGCAGCAGAAACTTTGCAAAGTCCTGCAGCTCTGGTCAAAGGTAGGCTGGATCCTGCAGAGAGATTAGTGTGTATGATTGCAGTACATGAGGTGATTTATGTGTGTAGTGTAGTAATGGTGGTGATTTTTCACTAGATGGCGATAGAGACCTTGAGATCATTAATCAATTAAAACTTTCATTTTTGTCACTAAGTGTTTTAAACATTGACTTTATGTTTTTTCAGATGCGTCCTCCTTGTTTATTTTTTCGTTTGTAGGTAACCTCTAAAAAGGAAGATAGGGAATATCTGTGTGAAACTTGTTCAGTGTAGTATGTATTATAGGTAGAGTGGTGAAGTTTAATGTGTTTTGAAAAGGAAAAAAATGGGCAAAAAATTAGGATGGGAGGGACTTAAAACTATATGTTCGATCTGTTTGTCCTTTTTGAAAAATATAAATATTTGCCAATTCCAGTCGTTAGAAACACATAGGTTCTTGTTCTTGCAGTAAATTTTATTTAAAGCAAAAGGTTTCTTTACTATTTTTGCAATCCAAATATTACATTATTGATCTGGAATGCATTAGAAGGATTCTATTTATTTATTTATTTATTTATTTATTTATTTATTTTTCTCCTCAGTCTTGCTAAGAGTTTGCCTCGATGTTGCTCTTGTTATAACTACAGCAGTTGTTTGCATGGAAAACTAATAGGAAAATATTTAATATATTTTTAGCTGTCCTTTTAATGTAATTTAACAACTGGAAACAAGATGAGTCGGTGCTGTACAAGCAGCCAGCTCTGCACCAGCAGGCAGTGTAAGGTCATGCCTTTCTAGCCTCTTTAAAAGACAGGTCTTTTGATGAAGTGTCACTTGTCCGATTTCCCAAATTTGGGATGCCCTCTCCTGCGGTAGTTTCTTACAGGACAACAGGATTTGCAGAGAGAATGTTACCTGTAGGCAGCTTGGTTGCCAATGGCTGTTGTTCAAAGGTGATGTTTTTTCCAGGTACTTTATTTTTTCTAGATTGTTTTCTATTGTTTCAGATTTTTGCCCAAGTAGTAAAACAACTAAACTAAGGTTTGCTTCTAAAAGAAAAATCACGCATTTGCTATTTTCAGCAGTATGCAGTGATAGACACAGTGCTACAGTATGTAAAATAAAAGAGGGAAAAAGACAATTGGGTTAATTCCAACTTCTTAGTTCGGATCCTTAGATACATTCTCAATTAATAATTAGTTTAAGGGCCTGACAGTCAAAAGGAAAGAATAAAAGCTGCAATCTGGGAAAAGAATGGAGGAGGGAGGAGAAAGGCAAAGTGCAGAAAGATGAGCTGATTAAAAAAAAAAAAAAAATTAAACAAGGGAAGGTAAGCAGGTTAATGGCCATCCATTGTAATTGGCTTCTGAACAGAAATCCTGGCATCTTTTTCTCTCTCCCATGCTCTTTTTCTTTTTTCTTTTTTTTTTTTTTTTTTTTTTTTTTTTTGTGTTTTTTTTTTTTTTTTTTTTTTTCTTTTTTGTTTTTTTTCCCC